ATTTTTTAATCTTTTTCCTTCAATGTTCTCTATCATATATCTTTATATATCATTGTATTTGAATCTCTTATTTTAAAAATTACTTGTTTTACTATGTCCCTCATTGTTCTTTTTTCTGGTTCTGCTGTTTTAATATTTTATTGATTCTTTGAGAATTCATATACTTTATTTGGAATATATTCAAGCTCCCTCCCCCAATCTCCTCTCAGATCCATCACCACCTCCTTACACTCCCCCCCCCCACTTTCTGTCCTCTTTTTCTTTTTAAAACCCATTGAGTCTAATTTGTGTTGCCCGAATACTCATGGGTATGGGTCCATCCCCTGTAGTGTGGTGTACCTGGGGTCACACTTTAAAGTAACCGGACTCTCTCCCAAAAGTTGCCAATTGCCAATAGTTCCTTAGCAAAGGCTGGGGCTTGGGGCACACCGCCACCCTCCAGGCTGGGATTTTGTCTGACTTGAGCTTGCTCAGGTCTTGTGCATACTAACACAGCTGCCTTCATTATGCTTTTTAAATGTTTCATAATACATTAGCTTTTATGTTTATATAGACTTAGTTTCATCTTCATTCCTGGGGTGGTCTTTTAAAAAATATTTTATGTACTATTTTTATTTTATATGTATTAGTGTATTGCCTGAATATGAGTGCACCTGTGTCCTGCAGTGCTGCTGAGGTCTGAAGAGGGCTTCGGATTCCCCTGGAACTGGAGTTAAGGACAGTTCATATAAGCCATGTGGGTGCTGGGAATTGAACCCAGGTCCTTTGCAAGAGCAGTCAGTGCTCTTAACTGCTGAGCTATCTCTCCAGCCCCACCCCCTCAGGGTGATTTTTAAAAATTATTTCCAATCATTGTTTCAATTGTGTCATCTCGAGGTCTGAAGAGGGCTTCGGATTCCCCTGGAGCTGGAGTTAAGGACAGTTCATATAAGCCATGTGGGTGCTGGGAATTGAACCCAGGTCCTTTGCAAGAGCAGTCAGTGCTCTTAACTGCTGAGCTATCTCTCCAGCCCCACCCCCTCAGGGTGATTTTTAAAAATTATTTCCAATCATTGTTTCAATTGTGTCATCTATCTTTCACAAATCATCTTTTCTTCTTCAATTAACTCATTATCGGTCTTTCCAAAGCTCTGCATAGTTAAGGTCATTTTATTTCTTTCAGTTCATTTTGAAAATAAGTAAAAGCTTTTATCTTGTGTAGTGTCTTGCTAAAATGCTCTCTTTCTTGTAAGAATCCTACTTTATTCTCTGCTTTTTCTCACTGTGGTTTTATAGGTCATTTTGCTGCATTGGCTTTGTATTGCTTAGTCTTAAGTACATTTTTATTCTTACCATGGGAGTCTGGCCAGGCTAGTTTCTCCAAATGGCCTTTGGTGTGTGTCTAGAGTCCCTTACTGTCACTTTCAAGGTACTTTCAGAATGTTCGACCTCTGCTTCTGTCACCCACTTTTCTTTGCCCTTTTTAACCTTTTTAAATTGATTTTTTTATGATTTTCATACAATATAATTTGATGATATTTAGATCCCCTCCCCATCCCCACCTCATCTTACTGCTCTCTGACAAATTTTATACACACACACACACACACACACACACACACATATATGTAGAATCTACTCTGTGTCCCCAGATAGGTCCTTCAGTGTGGGTGCATCCTCTGGAGCCTGGGCCTGGTTAACCTACTAAGAGTCCCATGCTTGAACGAGACTGTCTCTGCCCCTCCCAGCAGCCATCTAGTACCACAATTTCCTTAGGTGAGGTTAGAGCTTCTTACCCACTTCCTCATGTCTATGCTGGCATTTTTCCTCGTTTGAGCTTGCATGGGATTTGTGCATGCTGACACCTTTGCTGTGAATTCATGTGAGTAACTGACCAGTTGTCTGGAAAACTCTATTTCCTTGTGGTCATCTACCACCTCTGACTCTTAAAATCTTTCTGCCCCTTCTTCTGCAATAATCCTTGAGGCCTGGGGGGACAAAAGTTTGATATATGTTGACACCCACTTTTACCTAACTTTCCTTTCTGGTTTCTCGTATTGGATATACTCCCACTTAATTTGGATTCTTTTCCTAAGGGTGTCTTCTCAGCATGGGGGAACATCCCTGAGACGCCCCAGTGCCTCAGAACTGAGGACCTTTTCTTTTCTCTGAGAAGACATTGGTGATTTGGGGCCTACATGGCCCCTTCTCCATCTCTGCTGCTGTTCTTAGATTGATCAACCTGTCCTTGCAGTGATCACCCACTGGGGAGTGTATTTCTATGGTTCCAAGGCCCGTCAAAAGTACAATTGGTTTTCTAGCTTCTGTCTCCACAGTTGTTACTACCATGTCCTAGTGGTTTGCTCCCCTCTAGTAATGGGGACATATTCTTGTTTGGTGCTCTTGGAGATATAGCCTATGTAGTTTTAGTTTAGTTTTTCAATTTATATGGGGGGATTTCAGTTATACTAAAATGTTGTGCCCAGAATCTGAACAAATTTCCAAAGCACATCTGGGTGTGATAATACATACATGTAATCCTCACATTTAGGAGGCTGAGGCAGGAAGATTGTGATGAACTTGAAGCCATCTTCGGTTATGTAAGGAGTATCAAGCCAGCCAGGGTTACATAGCAAGATCAAAAATCCAAATAATAAATAAATCCAAATAACATGGAGAAGAAAGATGAGAAGGAGAAGGAAAAGTAGAGGAAGAATGAGGAGGAGGAGGAGGAGGGGCAGGAGGAGGAGGAAGAGACCTCCATATTTGGGTGATGTTCATTAAAATATTAAATACTTTAGTTGAAGAAAAAGTTCACTTTGGTTTCTCATGTGAGCTAGAACTTTCTTTTTCCTCACTTATTTCCTGTTTTTATGTGTACCAAGACCCTTTCTTGGAGTTTGGTCTTAATTTTTTCCCCTTTAAACCCAAATACAGCATAGTTTCCTTCTTAGACGTAGCCCTTCATTCTCCACAGCCACTTTTCCTTTATTCCTTATGTTCGACATACTGTCTATTAGAATTTTAATAGTTTGGAGAACTGTGAAATAAGGTGTGAATTTATAGGAATTGTTGCTTTGGTCACTTTGTATTTTACACCTTTTTATTATGGAAAATGAAGATATTTTAACCAGCTGATTCATACTCCCCTGCCCCATGTTATATTTTAGAACCCTCAATCACTTAGTTTTAGAGAAATGAGAAGTCATTTCTGCCATCTGATTTCCAGTTGTCTTTTTCATTTGGTCCTCTACTTCCAAACATTATTGTCCCTGAGATTTCAACCATGGGCAAGAGGGTTTCTCTAGCCTCTATTCTGATATTGTATTAAAAGTATGGATAAAATGAATAAAAATAAAAAACAAATATATATATATAATGTGGAAATTAATTTAATAAACCTCATAGATATTAACACCTAGATCACTGTTTAGTCAACATTTAAGCAAAACAATTATAATAATTTAAAAATAAAATAGAAATAATAATGATATGAAATATGTTCAAAATTGTGATGGTGCTGTACCAAAAACTCCATTTGGCAATACTGTCATAGCTAACGTTAACAGATAGGGATCTTCTAAATATACAGGGTTGGAGTAATATAGTGGACTTTGAATATCTTTCAGTTCCATATCTGCAAATTCAACCAAAAGCAGATAAAGTATATTTGAAAAAAAATTGTATCAATGCTGAGCATATACAAACCTTTTTCTTTTCATTTGTCCCTAAAGCCATAATATAGGAACTATTTGCAGGTCATCTACACTACATTTGCTATTATGTGTCATCTAGAGATGATTTAAAGTATTTATTGCATTTAAATACATATAATGTTTTAGGTTGTTATTATATAGTTTTTATTTATAAATTATTACTTGATAGGGCTGAAGAGATGGCTTAGCAGTTCAGAGTGCTGGCTGCTCTTACAGGGGACCCAGGTTTGATTCCAAGCACCCACATGGCTGCTAACAACTGCCCATCACTCCAATTTCAGGGTATCTGACAACCTCTTCTGACCTCCATGTATTGCACGACATGGGTACACTTACATGCAGGCAATACACTCATAAGCATAAAATAAAAAATAGTAAATAAAAATTTAAAGAATTATCATTTGATGTAAATTATAGCTTAGTCACAAATGCTCGTGAATGTGTATATAAGTTTTTCAAAGGAACAGGTAGAAAATAGATATTTATTTCATAATCTTTAAAATGAAAATAATTTCTCACAATACTTCCTCAGTTTCTTTGTATACTTTCCTGTATCATTCCTTTGTTGAAGAAATGTCCATAAGTTCTAAAGAAATGATTAGATAGAGAGACAATAAAATGACCAATGATTATCACAGGTGAAGGAAGAATGAATCATAACAGGACATGGGATTTTGAGCACAGTGAAACAATTCTGTATGGTACTTCAATACTGTATGTCACTGCACATGTGTCAAATCCATAAAATGTCCATTAGGGGAACCCTAATGCACGCTGTGCACTGGGTGGTAATGATTCATGAATGTAGGTTCATTGACTGTAACAAATGCTTCAATCTTGTGCAGGATTTTAATAGAGAAACCACGTGTGTTTGTAGAGGTCATGGCAATGTGCACACAGAAATGTATCTTCTGCTCACACTTACTGTAAACCTAAACCTTCTTGAAAACAAATAAATTATAATAAAATTTTTAAAATTTCAGGCTTTGTTATATAGTTTTCTATTTTATCTAATTAAGGAAATGTACCTTAAGACTATGGTACTGACATGGGGTTAAAGTAGAATGTGTCAAATTACATTTGGATTCTATAAAGATAGTTTGTGAGCTTCTCAGTACTTAGCAATTCTTTGTGCTCCTGATTAGTTTTGCCATTTATACAATGCCCTGCACTACAGTGGGATCTGCCTCTTTATTTCATAGGTGCCTTGAAGATAGATGAATCAAAATCACTGTCTTTGTCTCTTTGGTAAAGTGTACTTTATATGTCAAGATCCATGCATCTCCGACTTCTGTTTTCTTACAGCTCCACAGGATGAATGGGGAAGAAACTACACAATAGAAATAGAGATAAATCAAACTCTGGAAATACCATGCTTTCAAAATACCTCCTCAGAAACTTCGTGTGGGTTCACCTTTGAATGGTTGGTGGTGAGTGTTGCCCTTTTCAGTGAATAACTGCAAGGATCTTGAAATATTAATGAGGTAAAATGAATAACAAGTAATCAAAGACAAATACTGGATGAGACACAGGCATTATGCCAATGTCTGGGGAAGGACTTGGGAAGGGTGGAAAGGGCACCGAGGTGCCTTCTAACTATTGGCAAGCATTTGAGCTATGCTTGCAATGGATTGACTCAGAAATTAGCTCTTAAATGTGGGTTTCCATTTCAAATTATAAACCACACCATAATTTCAAAGAGAACAAAGCACGATGCTGCCCTATTTGGGGCGGGGGAGGGGGGGAGCGAGAGCGAGAGAGACTCTTTCCTGGAACTTCTGTTGCTATAATCCCAGAGGAAATAGCATTACTTCAGATTAAGAAACACAAAACCAGGGCTGGAGAGATGGGTCAGCAGTTGAGAACGCTGGCTGCTCTTGAAGAGGACTGAGGTCTGGTTCCCCAGCACCACATATGGTGTCTGACAACTGTCCAAAACTCCAGTTCCAGGGGGATCTAATGCCCTCTTCTGGCCCTCACAGGTATTGCATGCACATGGTGCATTGACATACATGCAGGCAAAACACTCAGTACACATAAAATAAAAATAAATAAATCGAAATTTAAAATATGCACCTCATATTTAGACAAGTTTATCTTTCACCCCTCATAAAAAAGCTTCCTTTTGCAGCAGATGGAGACTATTACAGAGTTCCAGAATTGATCAAATGCAGAGAGAATATGCCTCTATGAGACATTTAACCCTAAGTGACACATCTTCAATGTAATCTCTACGCATGGGATGAATACATCTTTCAACTCTCACCAGAGAAGTTCTTTATGCAGATTAACACAGAAACTCACAATTGGCCAATGTGCAGAGACCAAGAAGCCACAAAGTGCTTATCCTTGATTAGGACACCTATTTCAAATCGCTGCCTCCCAAGACTAGGAGATCAAGGCAGAAGAGGAGGTGGAAAGATTGTAGGAGCTAGAGGGGTGGGTTACCACGAGAAAAGAGTCTCCCAGGCAGATGGTCAGTTACTCATGTGAACAATATGAGTGATAGCAACAGCATGTACATGTCCTATGCAAGCCAAACCAGGCAAAATCCCAGCACAGACATGGAGAAGTAGGTAAGAATCTCAATCCAACCTAAGGAATTTTTAGCAACTGATGGCTACTGAAAGGGGGAAAGCCAGAGTCTTACAGGGGTGGGCCCAGTGGACGGAGAGAGAAAGTTCATTAAAATTGGAGGGGGGCAGCATGGGAGATGTGGATAGGGGAGGGAATCTAAATACCATCAAACTATAGTATATGAAAATTGTAAAATTCAATTAAAAATAAAAATTTAAAAAATAATAGAAATGAGGACCAAAGAGACGGCTCAGCAGTTAAGAGCACTGGCTGCTCTTGCAGAGGACCTGAGTTTGATTCCCAACACCCACATGGCAACTAACAACTGTCCATAACTCCAGTTCAAGGGAATCCAATGCCCTCTTCTGACCTCTATGGGCATTGCAGGACACATGCATTTATATGCTTCTCTTGTAGAGGATCTGGGTTCCATCCCAGCACCCACATGGCAACTAACAACCAGTATGTAACTCCAGTTCCAGGGGATTTGATGCCCTCTGACTTCCACGTGCATTGATATGAGTGCACTTATACACATGCAGGTAATACACTTATACAGATAAAATAAAAATAAGAAATAAAATGTTAAAAAATAAAATTATAAGAAAGAACAATGTTCTTAAGAGCGTGTGGTGGTGCATGCCTTAAACCCAGCACTTGGGAGGCAGGAGAGTCTCTGTAAGATCAGGAAGCCAGCCTTGTCTTCATAACGAGTTCCAGGTGAGCTGAGAATACAAGAAGATCCTGTCTCAAAAAATCAAAATAAAAAAGAACCATGTTCTTAAGTCTTAGGACTGGAGAGTTGGCTCAGCATTTAAGAGCACTAGCTGGTTCTGCCAGTTTCCAGGGGGACCCAATGCTCTCTCCTGGCCTCCACAGGTACTGCATGTATGTGGTGTACTAACATATGCAGACAAAACACTCATAGACATCAAATAAAAATAAATTTTTAAAAAACACAATTCTTACTTCATGAGCATGTAAAGAATTTTTCTTAGCAAATAGAAGGCCTTCAACAAGCCTGGTTCTTTTATGTGACTCTGAGATGATCCAGGATCCAATTTTCATCATTCATTCCAAAAATCCTTAGCACACAGTAGAGTACCTAGAACTCTGTAAGCACTTAATGTGGAGAACTTACTTCTACCTGACTTCTTTCCTCACAGTTCTATTCACCATCCTCATGCTAAACTGATAGCCACTAAATCATGTTATTTGTTTTGTTAATAAGTGCCAGCTCATTAGACACCGAATACTAGATAACCGATGTCTCATTTATCTAGTAGTGTCCTTCAAATAAGTTTAGAAAGTGATAGAGACATTCTCTGTAGAACCTTCCAGGACATTTAGAATAAATGAGGGCCAGAGAGCATGCACAGAAGGTCACACAGTGAGAGGGTGAGGCTTAAACTTTTACAGAACCTATCACTTTAAAGACTGGATCTTGATATAGACTAATTGAGGGATCTTTCTGAAAAGGAACCTTTCTTCATGTGCTGATTAAACTCTTACTGTGCATTCTCTTTTAAAATGTCAGAATCTGTTTGCTACCCTGATTTACAGCTGTGCCCTAACTATCGATTGCTGTAGACTCTTCTAAGTCTGATATGAAAACATCCAATGTTGTTGTATCAGGAAATACACCAAAGCTCTTCATGTTCCCACTGCTGCATGTCTACAGAAGTCACACGTATTCCCTCCAGTCCACAGTTTAGGTCTTTAATCTCCTACTAACCCAGTGATAATAATCATAATGGTAAGCCAGCAGTTCTTAAAAACATGAAATAACATGGTTTCAAGTAAAAGGCTAAGAAGTAGACATGATGAAGGTAAGCTCAGCAGGCAGACATCTGCTGTATGGAGCTCAGTAATTCCATGAAGCTGCAAAGGCTTCCCACCTTGTGTTTCATTAAACTCTAGGAAAAATTCTACAAGCGAAAATTGTCTGAGTCCCTGAAAAACCAAAGTCATCTCATCTTGTATGTGGAAGTTTTAAAAATCTAATAAATTCAGCTGCAACTGCCATTGGAAAAGTTAGTATTAGGATTCTCAATTTCACTGTAAATACATATACACATACATATATATATATATGTATGTATGTGTGTATGTATATATACATATATATATATGACCTATTTGCTATGTGTACCTGACCCCATGCTCAGCTGTGCAGCTGTGTTAAATAAAGCAGACCCTGTGCTTTGGGGTGGGGGAGGAGTTACATTCCAGGACTGTATTACACTGGACCCAACAGGCTTCAAACACAAATACAGTGTATGCAACATTCAGATGTCGAGAGATACTTTTTACCTTAAAAAAAAACTCAAAAGGCCAACTTGTCAAGGAAAATAAGCCTTTGTGTGAATGGTGCAGTGATACATAAGAAATTATACATTGTGTGCATTTAGTTGGGAACTGGGATGGTAGAAAAAGGGAGGGTGCTATCTTTGCTATTTTGTTTCCTAGGACACAGCATAGCACCATCAGGGAAAGTCTTCAGGCTTATTCTGGGAGTTTCTAAATGCATCTAAACATTCTGTTTTCATTAAAAACTATTATCCTGACTTCCCACAGAATAAATTTTAATTCAATCCAATAAATAGATGTGAATCTGTTTTAAGTGTTGGGTCCTTGAAGGCTACAAAATTTTATTAGACATATTTTCCACAATAACATGCACATTTAATAAATATGTAAAAAAAATTACCACATACAGGGAAAACAGTTTGATTCTGACTATGAACCTGGAAAAGCTTTTTTAGAAACACAGGATTTCCCTGAAGCTCCAGTTGGCCTGCAACAACCTCTGTAAACCAGGCTGACCTCAACCTCATAGATCTCAGTCTGCCTCTGCCTCCTGAGCACTGGTATTAAAGGCATGCACCATTGGACCTGGCTCAGGGAAAGCTTTTGAACAGTTGACTGGCAAAAGACAGCCATATGCTAAACCAAGACCTTGGCACTTATAAGTACATGTTTGTAGTACACATGGTGGACTGTCTTAAGGAAATAAGCACATTAAAAAGAGATCCATCTAAATACTTATCCTAGATTAGTGCATCCCCTGTCCCTCATCAGAGAAGTTACCTTTTGCAGTAGATGGAGGTTAAGACTGAGATGCACAATTGGTCAAAGTACACAGAATAAATAACTGTGGTGTGCTTAGCAATAAATAGGACATCTTTATAACTCCCTGTGCCCTAAGGCTTAAGGAGCAATGAGAAAGAGGGGATAGAAAGATTGTAAGAGCCAAAGGTTGGGGAGGACTGCTGTGAAGTAGTGCCTTTTGGATATGAAAGGATCACAGTGCTCATGATCTCCCAACAGCTGTTGTTGCCTGCACAAGACCTGCACAAGATCAAACCAGTAGTCAATACTGCAGTATGGACTGGAAAGGGCTCACCAGGCCCGATCCCTAACTGAAGAACTACTGATGGATGATGGCTGGAGGGGGGGAGTTTTCTTTAGGGGTGCCCCACACCACTGATAGGATGCCCATGCTTCAGGGGATGGCCCTACACCTATGCATACACAGGCAGCACAAGAAGAAGAAGAAGAAGAAGAAGAAGAAGAAGAAGAAGAAGAAGAA